CAGAAATAGGCTCCAGCCTTCAAGGCAAAGCTTAGGAGATGTGGCCCAATAACCACCTTTTCCACTCATTGCCGGGAATGTATCCAAAACACCCAGCAGAACAGTCTAATTCCAGATTATTTCCTGGCAAGCAGGGATCCATGGCAAAAATGGAGATAAATATATTATATACAGCAAGATCTGCTGTATAAACAAGATTTTTCTCCCTCCTTACTATCTTAACAGATGCAGACAAAGCAGCCAATTAAACCGTAAGCCAGGCTTCAAATCTTGGCTTCATATTGGGTTTATTTGGGCTGCTGGAGATAGGAAGAAATTGATTCCTTTGGTTACAGGGAACTTCCTGAAATCATAGGAATCCTGCATTTCGGAAGAAGGAGATGGTACCTTGAAAAAAATGGATCTAATTATCAAGACATATTTATTCTTTATTCACCTGTCTCCTCTTTTTCTTTTCACAGGGAATGCCCACCACCTGTGTCATCATCAAAGTGGACACATTTTCACCTTTGCTCCTGCCCTCTTGACCTTGTGAGACCGGTTTGTGGATGGCAAGAGAGATGTTGAAGACAGTAAGAAAACTATTTTCTAATAGGGATGCCATAGATATAAATGGGGACACTCTGTCTGATGTTGTTTAGGTTCAGAAAGCATTGCAAGGCTTTGAAATGAACAGGAAGAGCATTTTTTGGAAAATGTATGGAATCATGAGGCTCAGTACAGAAGAAAACTATACAAACATTAGCTTCACTTTCCATGGGGCAAGTTAACTGAGATAACTGAAATTAAAACATTCCTTCTCTCAAGTCTAACTATTAATCCCAAACAACAAAAACCCATAAGCATGAATAATAAGTAAAATCCTGGTCAATTCAAATGCCTTTCTAACAGCACCTGAACAATATCAACTTCTTCGCACAGAAATGTAGGCAGTTTCTTCTCAAACACTGAACAATTATTTCTAAGCTTAAATGTAAGTAATAGTCCCAATTTATTTTATTACTCTTTACCTTATTTAACTTGATTACCAAATACCAAGTCAGTTTGTAACTGAGGTTTCCTCATTACCGTTGCTGTACCCACTCAGTACACAAGGCAATTGTCCATTTCTTGGGTAATGGGTGGAGTTCAATATTATTCTGAGGCTTCAAGACACTTTTAGAGATGCAACTGACTTCCAGGGTGTCCTCATGAACTACTTTCTGTGGTACTTGAGCAAAAACAACCACATTATTAAATATTGATTTCCTTTCTTTCCAGAGCTGCCAATTTAACCATTTTCAATCTCACTTGGTCTGCTACTATTTAGGGTACCTGTGGTTAACTTATTTCTAATTTTGCATGTTCATCTTTTATGAGGTCCTGTAGCAAGGTGATTCAAAGTGTGGGGGATCATCTGTAGTCCACAGAAATAGGCTCCAGCCTTCAAGGCAAAGTTTCGGAGATGTGGCCCAATAACCACCTTTTCCACTCATTGCTGGGAATTCTTAATCCACTTCCTATCCATTGCCCACCACCAACAAGGCTCAATAATTGATCCCATGAAGGATTCTCCCAGTAAGCCTTTCCACTGCAGCAATTCTTGATTGCTTAACAATTTATGTATTATATTTCTGCATGTAATACAGAAATTGTTACATTTTTGAGTAGGTATATTTTCTATCCTTCTTCTCATTCCTCACTCTTAGGATCCTTTTTCAGAGCAAATATATTGCAGATACGGAGAAGAGGAAAAGATGGACTAGTCTAATACATCCTCAAATATTTCCCCTTTACTGTAGCAATTCCCTTGCAGTTGAATTAAAAAAGTCAGTGGGAAAAATACATGACTATATTTTATTTATTTTTACTTATTAAGTTTGTTTGTTGCACTTCTTGCTGCAATCTTCCTTTAGCTGGAAGCCCAAAACTATAGGTATCCTAGGCAAATGTTGAACAGTCATATTTAGTTTTAGAAACTAGGTTGGCTATATAACTAAGTCTGAATATTTTGTTTCATTAAAACAGCTTTTAATTTACTATGTCAGTCAGCGTATGGGAAAATGGCTAGTGCTTCACTTTGAAACCAACCAACCTAACTTACAGACTAACCAAGTTGGAAGGCAGTCCAATCCCCTGCTCAATTAGTAGATCCTATACCATTCCAGACAAATAGCTTTCCAAAATATTCTTTAAAACCTCCAGTGGTAGAGCACCCAAAACTGCTGGAGCCAAGCTGTTCCATTAATTGTCTGCACCCTCAAGAAATTTCTCTTTCATTATAGGTTGGATATCTTTCTGATATGTTTCAATCCATTATTTTTTGTCGTTCCCTAAGTTGTTTGGATATTAGGCTGACCCCTCTTCATTGCAACAGCATCTCAAATATTGGAGGACTACTATCATGTCACCCCTAGTCCTTCTCTTTATTATTCTGCCCAAACCCATTTTTTTTCAGCCATTCATCCTGTTTTAGCTTCTAGCCCTCTAATCATCTTTATTACTATTTTATATCATGGTAACCAAAATGATACAGTGTTCCAAGGATTTTCTTAGCTAAGCAGTATAAACCAGTACTAACACTTCACGTGACCTTGATAAAATCTCTCTCTTAATGCAACCTTGGCTTTTTTGGAAGCTGTACCACACTTCTAGCTCATATGTAAATGGCTGTTCACTAGGCATCTGAAATCCCTCTCACAGGTACTGCTATTGAGCCACCTATCACCTCTTCTATAACTGTGCATTTGGTTTTTCTTTCCTAGGTTTAAAGGCATATTGTTCTCACCACTGAAATCTAGAGATGAGTAATAAAAGTATGGCCCCATGAGATCCTCTATAGCTGAAGCAGCAGGAAACATTCAATAGAACCAACACTCACAGAATACACAGCTTTTAGAACCCAGCTTTCCTTCCCAATTTCAGTTAATCTTCTGTGTCCCACAGGACTCCTAATAACTCTTGATTAAGGCTACAGGAATATTTCCAGCACTAGACATATGCGCTGCCTTCAGGGAAATAGAAATCACCTGCATGAGAAGGGAAAACTACAATGCAAGCCAAAGAAACTGGTACTTCATCTGAGTTCCACAAACACCCACCAAAAGCAGAGCAGCTATTTTCCCAAAACCCACCCATAAAAATGTGTCAGACCCAGATTTCTATCATCTAAGGGCTCTTCCAAAACTCCAGCTGCAAGTGAATATGGCTGAGTATTATCATCGTGGACTTGTAGAGTTTGGGCAACA